CCACCCCCCTCCCCAGCTCCTCCAGGTGCCACTGAAAACATTCCCGCAGGCTGGATTTTTAAAGCAATTAATTCCATATTTAGGAGGTGATTCCTTAGCGTATAGACACATGTAGGAAGCACAGGGAAAATAAAAGCCGCAGCTGTAGCTGTAGGTGCAAGGACTACCGAAAAGCAGGGAAGCCCATGTTGTTCAGAACACTGCACACTTCAGGGAGAAAGGACTGGGTGCTCCAAAACACCCCCGGGAGGGGACACAGCACCCCCTGAGCGAGAGAAGCACCTTCAGTCCGTGCAGAGCCCGGCTGGGGGCTGCCGTGGGCAGGCAGGGAACGTCTAACAGAAGTTTACGGACTTCTCCCCTGGATTTGGGGAGACCTTGCTTTGGAAGAGTTACGTACAAAACTCACGTTGGTATTCTATCGTTTCCGTACCCCTTTCTACGTACTAGAAGGCCAAGCATGAGCAAATGGGGCCTTCGCCGGGATGCAAATAGGTTCAAGAAGTCCCTGGAGATGGGTTAAAGACGTGCCACCTCTTTACAGGCTCTAACCCCCTCAAAATCTTTAGCATCACGTTGCGTTTGTGTCTGCGTCCCCCTGTCCCCCCCAAGCCACGGGGGCGCAGTGAAGCAACATCTCATCGACCACCCTTTGCACCTTTTAAGATAAAAGCCATTTTTAGCACGTTTTTATAAATCAAAGGGAATTTTTACAAAAGAACTTGATTCAAAGACACTCGGAACTTACATATTTTTACAAACCCACCACACAGAACCGAGTGAGCTGTAAGTGTGCTTGGCCAAAGTTCTCTGCTGACATGATGGAAAAATCTTGGAAGTCAGAGGCAAGATTCCTTACCCCGGAGACCATGCCTAACAGAACCCGTAAGTACATTCCTGTCACTGTGAGTTATGCTCCCTTCCCATGCTAACGGATACCTGTGTAATATAAAGAAAATATATCGTTGCTTATGTTGTTGTGACACAGCAGCGCGGCCGATAGCCAGGCGCAGGGGCAGAAGCCGCAGTGGCCCTCACCCCCTCAGCCCCGTGCGATCCCGCCGTGACACCGAGCGAATCACTTGGATCCTGGCTCAGCATCCCTCCGGCAAGGGATCTGATGCTCCGGAATGACCTCGGAAGCACCGTTAAGGAGCCACAGGGAAACCCCAACTCATAAAGCGATACCTAGAAGTGCTAAATATTAAGACGCACCACTCCCACCCCTCAGGACGCTGTGGTATCTACCTTCTGCTTCAGTAAAACTAAATGAACGAACACCGGCAAATTAAGCGATCTACCAGTTTAAAAGACAAAACACTTTCGAAAAGTCTTCAAGTGGTCTGAGCAGAGTACATTACATGGGAAGTGTCTCCTAAGAAATACTTACCATTATAACAGTACTTAGCACCTCCACAGTGCTTCCCAGCCTCCCAGCACTGTACAAACATTAGCTTCTTAATCACTCATTAGGGACGATCCCATAGCGCCGGGCCATGCCTCATTGAGTAAAGTCATCCCCAACTCGCTCAGTCCCTCTTGCTCCCTCCAGAGACAACTTTGAAGGTTCTCTCCGATTCCCACGAGAAGTTCAGAGCGAGCAAGGAAAAGTCTGTTCAAAACGAACAGCGGCGGCATTCCCTTGCCTCCAAACTGCCCCATTTTTCATAGCAAGGAGAGGCAGAAGTGAGCATCATCCCAGCCAGCGACCTGCTTCCATTAAAACCTTGAATTAATAAAAGTTGGGAAATTCAGGGAGGTGGGAGATAGCAGCCTGTAACAGAGCTGTGGGCTTGCGCCTGAGGACATAACCTCTTGTTGTTGCAAAACAAGGCTAAGGAGGGATGGAAAAAAGCCACAGGAATGATAAGTATGTTCCTACAACCGGCCAATTTATTCTTCGGGCCATAGCTGGATGGATTGCTCCCATGCATCAGCCCCCCGTGCCGCCTGAAAGGAGCAGCTCTCGGGCACCTATCTGTACGGCAGCAGCACCCCGAGGGTCCATCGCGGCCCGGGCGCTGTGCTAGCACACGGGAGCAGGGTGCCTGCTCCGGGGACCTCGCTGGCTAAAACGGAGAAGGGAGCGCGGAAGCACAAAGGGGCGCAGTAAAAGCGAAGGTTTGCACGCTCAGAGAAGCCAAGGCAAACTTTGATCGTGATGAAAATCAGGTTCGCGCAACCTTAAAACTTTCTACTTTTCCCACAAGGATGTTCGAATTCAGAAATCAAGGCTGTTTGACACACCCTTTAGCTTAACACGTTTCTCTGAGGTAACGATTTAAACTCTCAGGTGTCTGACTTCATATTCATTACCAAAAAAAAAAAAAAAAAAAACATTGTGCCTTCACCTTCTATAATGAAAAAAGTAAGCAAAGAAAATAAGCAAAAAAAAAAAAAAATCCCCCAAGTAAACAAAAAATATCCCCCAAGTAAACAAAAAAAATCTGATAGTAAGTCATCACAGAAATTCAAAAACCCGGAGGAAATCACAACCCTGATCCATATCCATCCCGCTGGCAGACCCCTAGAAAAAAATCGTTCTGATGATGCCCCTCCAAACCACAGCAGGGCAAAGAAAAGGGTCCAAAATCCTGTGTTCAGCCTTTTTTCCCCTTTAATATTACTGCTTCAGACTACCAACAGCCTGCATCCAATCAGCCAAAATTGCTCCGCTTTCATCCAGAACGAACGCAAACACACCAAGTCCAGCCCGTGATTTGCTGTTATTCAGCACTCTTACCAGTCTCCAAGAACTATAACACCTCATTTTAATGTAACTGCTCTCAATGCCAGCTTTTTTTCCCCTCCTTTTTGTAGTATGTAATTTTCTATGTTATCAATCTCCTCGCCATTCACCCATTTGGGCATCCTTCCATCGAGCCTGGCATTTCATCTGTGTCTGAAAACTTCCAGTGGTGCCAAGTGTTTGCATACCTTGCAAGTGTTATGTCAAACTCTGCCCCTCAGAGCTGCCAAAAACCACCACTCAAAGTTAGCAAAGCAAATACCTCCTTAGACAAGCTTAATAAACACGCCAGGAGAAACCCTAGACTTCATAAAGACGTTGCTCGCCTGACGAGGCCAAGCTTGAGGTCTTCAGCACCCTTTCATGTCCCATTTAGGCCAACATCCATTATCCTTGTCACGCGGTCTCCATCCGCACTCTGCGTAAGTGCATCATATCTGAGCCCACAGATTATTTAAAACAGCCAATCCCAAACTCCGCACCTCTTTTCGTGCTGCAATTACTAGCCAACTATCAGACCAACCTTGTCTCTAATCAGTCTAAACGAAGACATTTATTTTATGGCATAAATCAACACACAGAGCACATACGCCTAGCGTTTGGCACTGCGCAAAGAAGCTAACTTTGGTGCCCATCAGCTCTTATGGCCTCGTCCCAAATAAATCCTCATTTCTTTCTATTCTTGACTGATGACTACTGATTCCTAACAAGAGTGGGAGTAGACATGAAAGAGCACGTTGAGCAGAGAGAGGTGGAGAAGAGGAGGGTCTGAAGCAGAGAAAATGAAAGAGGAAGGACAAGGTGGAGGGGTAAGAAAGCCCGGGGGAAAAGTGCAAGGGAAGTGAAAGAGGAGGAGGAAACAAGATCTGTGGGAAGCGGGAGATTGAGAATCTGAGACCAAAGCAGTCAAGCCTTCACTAGGGCCCGAAGATAACCCCTGAGAAGATCAGAACAATCTCAGCTCTGTAGGCTTCAATTGCAATAGCGTATCAGAAATCCATCACTCCCAAACCACCACTCACAAGCAGACGTGAGCATCGCAGCAGCTCTTTGCCCAGAAAACCCCTGTCTGACATTTAATGCTTTGGAAAGCACCCTTGGCCTCGGATGCTAGCTCCCATCCAGCGCTCGGCTGGGAGCCCTTCTACGCTGGCAGGAAGGAGCCCCAAATTCCCAAGCACTAGAAGGTCCCGCAAAAGGCTCCCCAAAGCAAAGCACTTTGAAGAGGCCTAATTTTTCAGGGGCGGGAGGAGACAAGGTTTGTGGACGCAGACCCTCTAAAGTGCGAGGCTGAGCACCCAAGAAGAAACGCACCCAAAAGTCACATGTTATCTTTGGGAAATGCTAGCCACCGGGTCAAATTCTGTTCTTTTCCATCACCGTTGTAAATCCAAAACAGAACAACCAACTCAAGTTTGCACCAAGGTAACCAAGAAATACATTTAAGTCAGCAATACTAAATTCAGGATCGCCATGGCATTTTATGGCCATTGATAAAACAGGTACCAGCTAACAAACAACAAAAAAAACCCAAAACACCTTCCACATTATGAGATGGATGAATGAAAACAAGGAAGTCATACTAGATTGCACTTACCTTTCCATCATCTTCCCTCAAGGACTTCAAAAAGCATCAGTGACTTACCATCGTCCTGGAAGTCCGATGGAAGTGAAGCATCAGATGTCATGGAAGGCGCCAAACTCCAGCTCTGATTTTCATCACAGCTGTCCTGTCCAAAACCAGCATCGTGCTGGTCCTCCCCTAGAAAGAGGAGAGCCTGATTTTAGTGAAAAGGACTCATTTCTAAATCCAAATCTTATTGCCTACACCATGAGACATGTTTCCTCCTGGTTTCCACCTTCCACTGATGTTCTTCACAAAACCCAAACCCACTTTTGCGGGTTTAAGGCCAGATGCATCATTTAGGGCCATGGCAGCATGTTCCTGCTGCAAGAACGTTCATGCTGGATACGTACAGACTTCACACCTGGAGGGCATACAAGGAGGAGGCTGGAAATACCAGTCTTGGGGCCAAACTTGGGGAACACCTTCCTTGTTCTTGCCCTCAGTACACGACCTCCGCATAAATCATCCATCTGTAAAATGGAGGAGTATGCTACCTGCTTCACGGGAATGAAAAAGCTTCCTATATTGTAAAGAAAAGCTCCCTGTGACAGGCAGTCCCATACAAATTAACAGAGCAGGGTGGCTGCGTGTGGAGGCAGGAGCTGTTACCTCCCCACACTCGATGTTGCATCGAATTTTTCTGTAAGCAGACATTTTGCTCGGGAATTTGCTGCTGATATTGGATTTTATGCAGAAGGCACTTTGATACTACAGTGACAGATGTTAATATCAAATTTTAATATAAATGGGGTGCAGCTAGCCTACCTGTACAAGAAAACACTACTCGCCCTAAACAAAGCAAAAAAGCGGTCTTTCAAGCTTTTGCCTGAATACACACAGCCCAGACTGCTGATAACAGCGGTAAAGACAGCTGCTTACTCATTCAACACACAACAAACAGCACAAAAGGCGAGTTTTCAGCCGATGTTAATTGTGTTCAAACACTAAAAACAAGTTTTATCTCAGCAAACAGAGGAACTGTGCCTCACAGTTTAAGTCAAGCACTGATGACAGGGTACCAAGGCCTGGAACGGAGGGTTACAACACCAAGAAACACAGTGCAGATGTCATTAAGTCTCCAGCTGCAGAAAGACATGACACAATGTTTTGGATGTTTTATTTTCAGCATCCCAGGTTGCAGCCTTCCCTTGCTTGCTCGGAGCGCGAAGCTCTCGGAGACCCCGGGCTCCCGCATTCACGGGCGCGTTTTCAAGAAAACTTCAATTCTTCACCAAAAGGAACAAGCTGGCTGTGAGGAACATAACACACACGAGATTGTCCTCCCATGGATCAGTTCCTTAAAAAACAAATCACGCAGTGTGCCAGACACCATGATAGTCTTGCTATCTGAAGATTTGCCTTTGAGATTTACCGCAGGCCTATGGGGGTCAGTGACAGAACAGGGGGGGCCCTGGCACTCCACCCTTTAAGCTATCACAACTTTCCTAACGGGGGAAGAGCCCAAGAAATAATCAAATCTTTTCCCAGCTCTATGCTCCCTTGCTTCCAGCAGCCACCCCAGCCCGCAGTGCGGAACATCGGATTCGGGGAAAAAAAAAGGAAATTCAGAAAATAACTTTTCTCCTTTTGGGAGGTGAATCATTCAGCATCTGCATTACTAGTCTCTCATGCCAAGAAGAAAGCTGCCAGTCCCTGGCCCAAAAGGTGGGATCAGACATCAGCAGAGGTGGTACTGCAGTCATCTTCCATCCACGGGCTACTTCTAAGTCGTGAAGAGTAAGCAAAGCACGTTCCTCTACGCTACAGCAAACTGAAATTCATGCACGCACCTCCACGAGGAGAAAAGAAGAAAACCAAACGACTAGGGGTTAAAAAGCAGCGACTGAACCCCCCGCTCCGCTGGCCAGACTCTGGGAAGCGGAACGCATCCGTGAGCGCACCACTGACCGCCTGCCCTTGGAGAAGCCATTTCAGTGCTTTGCTCGGTTGTGTGTGACAAGGGGATGTTTCTTCCTCGTTTTACTGTAGCACTTTGAGATCCTCAAATAAAAAGGCTCTAAAAAGCCTATATAAAAAGCTGCTACCAAACAGCAACAGCTCGGTGGCGTAGGAAAACACAGCGTTCATTCTAATGAGGAGCCTTCCTCCGTGCCGTGCTGCAGCGTTGCGGGCTCGACTGCAGCGATGTGAAGATGCCAGCGTTCTAAGACGGTTTCCATAAGCCCGTTCAGCCCCTTAAAAAGAACATTTTCTTTCAACCAAACTGCACCCTATTAAACCTGGCTTTTCAAACACACACCAAGGTAACAGGTGGTCCCCTATAACGAGATACAGGTGCAGGATTATTGCGATAACGAGCAAACTGTTTCTGGTTTCCGAGTGGCAGGGGGCAGCGCGGCACGGCGCAGCCGCCGCGCTGGGCAGGCACGGCTCACGCGCCGGTGCGTGGCTGCAGGAAACCATTTGGAACGAGAACAAGGGCCCGATCAGGAAAGTTGCTCGCAAGAATAAGTCACTGGCTTTAACGGCAGGAGAAGCTGGTACGCACATCGGCCACGGGGAAGAATCGAGCCACAGGTCTCCGTTTTGGCAGAATAATTCCCAGGCATGAAATATCCCATAGGGGGGTTGTCAGCGCAAACGCGCTCTTTCTTGCTGTCCTCATGCAGGAGTGGAAATTGGGGGTTCACGTGTTCGTGCAAGCTACCATAACCCCCGCAAATACCCCCAGGCTGCAGCATGTACATACGTGTGTCACGCCAAGCACAGCAGGACTCCAAATCGTGTGAGCTGCTGCAACACAAATCAATACAAACAAAGGCATTTTGTTTGGTTCAGCATTAGGAATATTTTCAAACACGGCTTCTAGTTTCAGTAACAAAAAAAGATCAACAAAAACACTGCACACATAGCTACTTAAAACAAATCCTATTGCCTTTCCGTTTGGATTTGCATTACGAGAACTTCTTGTGCTTTAATCCACTTCTCCATAAAGTTTATGGAGCAGCAACAGCTAGTTGAGTCCAAGCAGAAAAAATAACCGACAACTTGTCAGGGGCCAAGCTATTGTTCTGAATGAAGAAAAAACTCATTAGCTTTTAATGAAAACACAGGGAATAAAAACCAAATAGCACAGAACCCCGGCAAATAATTACTCTGCACCTGACGCAAAGCTGCTCTATCTTCCTACTCAAATCCTCAGCAAAATTCCCCAACTTATCGCTCTTTGGAGCATGAACAAAAGCAAGATTTTCTCTAAGGGAAAGGAAAGAGCGAGAGGTTCCCTGGGCTTACACCTCATCCGGGGGCTCCCCCGGCACTGCTTGGCTACCCCCGAGCGTGCTAAACGCCGGCCTTCTTGCTTCATGACAGTCGTGGCACAGGAAAAAAAAAATGAAATTATGCCATCTTTTAGCCGTCTGACATTTTCTGCAGAAACAGTTTCTCGCACAGCAGCAGAAAGAGGGGCTCGAAGGCATTCTGTGTAATTAACACAGATAGCACGCTTTAGCCGTATCGACTGCGAGCAAATTGCAGAGGGGCCAGGTTGCGTCTCTGGTGCCGGCGGTGTCCCCAGCAGAAGAGGGGGTGGCAATTCGGAGCGCAGCGACTTTGGAGAGCAGCGTCAGGCCGGTCGCGGCAGTCCCACCAGGTCCCTGCAGGACCTGCGGACATCGCACACACCTGGCATCAGGCAGAGACGCAGCCCCTGGCAGACCCCCTGCACTGGAGGAGAAAAAAAAAATGGCTGAGAGGAGAACGAAAAGAACCTAATTAAGCATTAACAGGGCTCCAAGCGAGCAGCGGGAGCAGGACCTCCAGGAGAAAGGGTCGCCACGATCAAGCAACGCACTGTTGCTTCCTCCTCCGCAGCCTCAGGAGCACGAGCGCTGCTCCCTGCGAGGAAGGGAACGATCTGACCCTGCCCTGCCTGTTCGCCTTGGGGCTTGCCATGCTGGAGGGTAAAAATGAAAGCCCTACCTCGGCTCTGGCGTAGTTGGAGGCCCTGGCAGATGCGAGATCTTAGGGCAAATGCTAGCAAAGCCTCAGCTCAGGTTCTGGTTTTGCTCCAGCTCTGTTGTGCAGCGTCAGAACAAGCCTCCGTGCCCGTCCCCTCTTTCTGCAGAAGCGGGCGAGAGACAGTAACTCTCTTTTTAAGACTAAAACTTCTTACTGAGACCTCAAAAATAAAGTTCCCCAAGACTGAAACGTTTTCCACACGTGAACTGGCAAAGAAGTTTTCCTTTCTTTAAGCCGCAGTTTGCCTCTCACGGGGAAACAATCGCCATAGGTGAAAGGGCTTTGTAGCAGAAAAATATTCCTTGCCAGTAGCTTGTTAAGGGAACTGCAATTAAGCTTACTTTGCATTCAGTGAAGGTCTTTATCTAGGTACCCAGAGTTTCATTAAGCATCTTTTTAGAGCATAAGAAAAATCAATACCAAGCAAGTTCCATTTACGCTTTTATGATAAGCTTGTGCGTGCCAAAGCGGAAGTAAAATCCCCAACTCGAGCTAATATTCACGGAAACGAAGTTCCTGCTTTAAAGTAACGACTCCTTAGTACCAGACTACAAATAAAGGTCCCTGATCCAAATCCCATCTGCCTTCATGCTCGACAGTGTTAATATCTCTAGATTTTCAGGGACTAATTTAGCAGTAATGCATTTCCCAAAGCAGAGCTGTAAAAGTATTATCAATACTATGGTTTAATATCCCTTACTACAATCACTTGCTGAAATTATGGAGAATCACATGGAAACACATCAACAGAGACGCACCCACACAGTAAGTACTGCTCACATGTAAATATATTACAGTTTAGCTTTTGTAATGTAGTTAAAGCTCTGTCAACATTGCTATTATAAATTATATACCTTTTTAAACACATTTATGTGCTAGAAAATGTATGATGTTTCTTTTTTGAATGCCTTAAAGGCTTCATCAGCTCCTAAGCGCCCATTTGGATCTGTGTGGTTAGCCCCTGTGATTAATACGTGAATAGCGGAGGTTTGGGGGGATGCAGGTTTCCTGCACCTTCTTCATAGAGACGATTGACTTCCTTCTGGTGCCAGGGCCCGGGCAACGCTGCAAAAGCGCCTGAAAATCCCGTGTTTTCTCTTGCGCATCACTGCGATAGGCGTACCCGTGTCCTCCCCTCCCCAGGCTGTACCAAC